AATTAGCTTTTTGTGTGTCTTTTTCAATCATCTTTATTTTTTTATACTGAATAATTCAATTCTAAAGTTATTACATTTATATTAAGTATAAGTAATCAACAAAATAAGTACAGATCATTGTGTATGTACTTAAAGTTATTGTAATCTTTTGGTAGTATATTCGTTAATACCAGATCTGTAAACAAATCATATGTACACTATAAAAAAAAGAAATTGGACTTTTATTCAATAACGTGTCAGTTTCTGTCCACACCCGATTGAGTGAATTTTTCACTCTATTATTAGGAGTACAACTAAATTTTTATAAGTATTGCAACAGCATTTAAACACAATTTTCACCAGAAGAAAACCGGTTGCTTGTATGCACTACACACCATACACCACGAGATGACCTAATGAAATGATGTGAATAGACAAAGACAACGCATGTGGTTAAAGAATGGGGTAGGGTCACTCTATAATAAGGACATTTACTATGATTTAGGTACAAAGTGTATTAAATATGAGTTTATCTGCAGAATTTATTTAACGGGTGCCTATATTTGAGTAAAAATAATCAGTTTTAGTTCAAATATAAACAATTAATAAAGTGATCAAAATGCTGAATATCGAGTGAAAAGGTACTCAATGATTTCACTGATTGGATTCACTCCGTACCTTTATTGCTTCCACTCACACCGATTTATTTACAGTGTATGAACAGTAGCAGGAAGACAAATAATTATGATTGCCAAAAACATTATTTATTTTGAATGCAGGTGATTATTGTGAAATATTTTCTTTCTTTCTACATGACAGTGATTTAAGACATTCTAATGACATACTTATGATAAAAAAAACAGATACTCGGATAGCTTAAATAGTGGAAAAAAATAAATTATTTTCAGAAATGTACCTACCTATAAATATAATGGGCTTGTCACCAAATTTGCAATAAATGAATAGGTCAACACGGCTGGAAGCGGAAGCAAAGATGTTTATTTAGCCAGGCTTATATTTTTCGTGAAATAACTTGAGAAGGTTGCGTGGTGTCCACGAAATCGATAATGTGTTGCATTTAGGTACTTGAGTAGCTCAGTTCTTAAAAGCATTTCGCACTTTTATAGAGGTGGAGAAAATTGATTTTCCATTAAAAATAATAATAAAATATGCAGCTAGGAAACGGATAATATACGTGGATAATCCGGAACATAGGCGGGATTTCGCCCAAATCATTGAAAGGGCAAACATCTCTCGAAAAATTTTAAGGCTTGTCCATACAAAGCAACGTCTATGCAAAATAAGAAAAGCGCTTTCCCCCGCCTATCAGCGGTTTAACTACGATCTGTTGCCATACGACTATTGAAATTGCACGCCCTTGAAGTTTAACTCTGAGTTTAATTTTTTTAGCTCAATTGCAATAATACGGGGGGGAATCCCTCCCTTGTCCCCCCTCAATCCCGCCTATGATCCGAAATACTATTTTTAATTTTATTCGAAAAAAAAGTCTTTCTCGGAAAATGGAATATTGTAGTCAAATTGCCAAATCGATATTTTCCCCGAATGTTATTTATGCAAGATTTACATGATTTGCTAAAAGGTGATCTAAAGGGTTTTTCTTGGAGAATAATCATTTCGACAACTTTTTTACATGATCATTTACTCTGCAGTTTCTGTACTTGCAATAAAAGAAAGTTAGTTTTAGAAATCCCTCATTAAAAGTTTCATGAGATTATTCGAACTTTTGTATTCATTATTAAACCCTCATTATTGGACATTCATTATTGAATATTCATTACAGGCTTAACCCGGTTTTATTTTAAACCTCCTTAGCAATTAATTTAAAGCTTTCCAGAAGAAGATATTTAAATAATTTATTCAGCATGTTATATTTTTTAAATTTCTTCATATACACTTATATTGATAGACTTATTGAATTACCTATATAAAGAGGCTTTAAAGTAATTTTCTGAAAGAGATCACTTCACCTTAATCAACAGGAAGTAGGAAACTTTTATAGGTATAAGTAATATTTTAAAATACTTGTTAGGTCAATGTGAATAAATAAATAATTTACACTTACTTTCCAATAAATTAAACTAACATCCCCGTTGCAAATTTAAATACCATTTTTACATGTTTCGGAGGCATAGAAAATAGTAATAGTCACTTGTATACAAAGTGTTTTCCAAGTCCATGTTAGAACTTCAGGTGGCTGTTTTTTAAATGATTTTAGACCAAAAAACCTTAATAAACCCATAGTCTACACTCTCTAGAGCCACTGATTTATACAGGGTGATTCACAAATGGTGACCAAAAATGGAACCTCGTATTCTTTGGTGAATGGAGGCTTTCGTATAAAGTTTTTATCTAGTACGCTTCGTAAAAAAGATACAGGGTGTTAAACTTTAAAAAAATATTTTAAATTTTTTTAAATAAACTAAAAACTAGTAAGTGAAGTAATTTGAAATTGAGCACATGTATTTATGTAAACACTGTACAAAATTTGTGGCCTTTTTCTAAAATTTAGATGCTCCAGTGGCGGAGGTAGCATATTTTTCGAAATAAAATAGTACGCAACTGCTTTACGGTAACAACCATGATATTTTCGGATTCATCTTCCAACTTTCTACAAATTACTACTCTTTTATGTTTTTCCAAAAAAGCCTGATTTTCAAGTAAAACAAAAAAACAAACAAACAAACAAACAAAAACAAAAAATTGACATGACAAACACGAATCCTTCGGTTATTTAATCGGATAAAGAAATTAATAACGTTTGTCATCATTTTAATGGTTTTATTTGAGTAAATGTAAATTATCTCCATTTCTACGAACACACGCGTGATATCTTTTTAGTAACGAAAATGTAATTTATTCCAAATTTGTTGTAGCTTGAATCTGATGAAAGGCGTTATTTATTATGTCTTCTAACTGCTCAAGTGTATTAATTTGTTCACTGTGTATCAGCCGTTTAACAGCATCCCGCAAAAAGAAATCCAGTGGGTCAAGATTCGGTGTTTTCAGTGCGATTTTTAAGTTTTACTCGAAAATTAGGCTTTTTTCGAAAAACATAGAGTATTAATTTGTAGAAAAATGAAAGACGAATCCGAAAACAGATATTATGATTGTTACCATAAAGCAGTGCCGTATTATTTTATTTACAAAAATTTTCCATCGATACTCTACCTCCACCACTGGAAAATCTAAATTTTAGAAAAAGGTTTCAGATTTTGGACAATGTTTACATTTATACGTGTGCTCAATTGCAAATTATTTCACTTAGGTACTAGTTTTTAAATTATTTAAAAAAATTAAATTTCGGCGCTACTGAATATTTCGGAAATTAAATAGGGGCATTTAATTCTTGTCGGTTCTAACTGTCCTCCACTTTATTCAATAAATTAGCATTTTCAAGTTGTTACTATTGTTTAATTTTGAATAAGCATATCACAGTAGATCTGAATACAATTGTAAATATAAAAAACGTCCTATAAATTATCTGAGCAATATCCAGGACACACAGGTCTAAAAAACTGAATTAGTCGATTTAAAGACCATTACTTCCACAATCGGCCAAACACCATACTGATATGTCATGAAAGTCATTAGTGACAATTATTTACAAATTTTGTGTGAAAATTTATTTACTTTGGAAGTAACAATTCTGTGTAAACTAAGTTGTCATATTAGTGACATCAGGATATAAAAAACACGTGGAAAAACAATAATACCTATTTCAAAAATAGCAATTTACAAAAATAATTTAAAAAGTAATAGATAAATTATGTTTTCCGTTCTCCAATTACAAACAAAACCTTATGAAACTATCTCCTTGATAACTAGGGTTGTCAAAACTGAGCCACGGGATATAGGCATACGCATTATTTACTAAAAAAAACGATAAATTAAATTGTCTACAACCACCACCATAAACACCAACGAATAGGAATTAATTACGCAACATCCGCACGCAAAGACAACAGTACAACTTGGCATGCCATTGAATTGCGGCTCTTTGAAAGCCTTAGGATAACTGATTATTTATAACTAATTATTATTAATTATCACAAATTATTATTTCAATATAATCAGTGAAGGTTTATACATCTTTTTTTATCAAATAAAGTAATTTTCGTAATGTGTGTTCAAATATTCCGTCTCATATTTTCGGCATGTTTTAAATTTTGTATTAAATTACTCCCAAAAATATATCGCAACATATTGACTTAATAAAATTTAGAAAATATTTTTATCAATTAGATTGATAACATAATAGTGACACTCAGTTCCAAATTCCATTATTTTATCTTGGTCAGATATTTGGAAAAGATAACTTTCTAGTTTCTCTCTAGGGCAGCGGTCTTCAAACTTTTACGACTTGCGAAACCTGGCCAACAATTCGATTTTTTCGAGAAACCCCAAACCTAAAAAAATTTTCGAACACATTTTTTACTGATTAAATAATATATTTATATTTTTTTGAATTTTGTAGTATCGATATAGTTAATTTCAAAATTTTGAATTTCTGACTGAGTCGCGGAACCCCCATAGAGGCTGTGGGGAACCCCAGAGTTCCGCGGAACACAATTTGAATACCGCTGCTCTACAATATTATTTTAATAAATGGCGAAGGAGCCGGTTGAATGAAAATTCTGAATGAATATGGAAGATTTTTCTTTTGCCAATATTTGTAAATTAGCTGTAGATTTTCGAAAAAAAACGTTCTTTTTTTCATACTTTTTCAAATTAGTCAAGGATGAAAAAATTTATTTTTCTGCGATTAACCATAATAGTAGTCCTTGTAGTGAATATATTCAAATTCTCAAAACCTCCCTTGGATTTACTGTGTATTAATTTGTTGCTGAGATTTGCAAAATGCAAAATATTACTAAGGCTTAGGGTAATTTACTTTTTAAACAATTAAAAGTTTATTAAAATTCTTCTTATTTGTTTTTATAATTATTTTAAAATATTTTTAAATGTTTTTTACGTACTAAAAAATTGAATTTATGTTACAGACATGCTGAGGGGATACCTATGTTTTGTAGTATCCATTTTCTGCATAGGAGTAGTAACCGCTGTCATAGGAGACATTGCTTCACATTTTGGAGCCACGTTAGGAATAAAAGATGCTGTTACCGCAATAGTGTTCGTTGCACTTGGCACAAGCATTCCAGGTACGTCCCATTTCAGTTGTAAACTTGTGTATGTTTTATTTTAGGTATATGTTATATTTATCCTCCTTCAGTTTCTACTACACTGCTATAAATATTTTAATATGTACTACTAAATAGCAAACTACTAATAGCCGGATAATAGCGAAGCATTTTGAATAAGTATATGGGCTTATTAAAAGAAAAGTATAGCAAATCTAATTTACTGGAAAATCCGTGTAAAATTGGGTTTTATTTGATATTATCAAAACAACGTGAAACAGAGACTAAATTGATGAATGTTTTTCATTATATTTTGACTTATTTGTATTATTACATATACATATTTAATTAGAAGTGGAAATGGTAGTTGTTATACTCTGTGTATTTCACCATTGCTCACATTAGACTAATTATACAATATCACTTATAACGAGGTGTAATAATTTAGCTAAAAGTTCTCCCGACCAAGCAAAATTATTAACCGAATATAACTCATTACCTACCAAAATGCTTTCTTAAAAAGTTCCTTCAAAGGACCTTCAATTCAACTTTTGTGATACGTAGTGAAACTTGACATATTAAAAATTTCATGTTTTTGCTATATTTTTTTTGATGACCAATTTAAGATAATGTAGACGTTTTTAAAACATCACTTTATTTATAGTAAAAAGATACTTTATCGGAACTTATAGAGTAAAACTAAGGAAAGCAGAGATGTAATAAATACTAATATAATGTGTTGAGGAATGATTACCAAATTCCTATGCGGATTGCACTCTCTCTCGCTCGATCTGTAAAAAGCTTCCTAATAGTTTTCTATGCTAATACCGTTCGTGGATCAGAGTGGTTTTGGTTTGAGGATTACACAGTTGTTGTCAAAAAAATTATAATTATTAATATTTTCGTTCAGCAAAAATAAACACTTTTAGTTTGTTGTTCTTCACACTACATTGTAATTGTGCATATGCGGTAGAATAAAGTTGTAGTTCAATGGTTTACGTCTGCGTTTTATTGAAGTAAATTCAAGATTACCTAACCATACAAGGAAAGTTACAGTCCACAACTACCGAAGGATATAACGAAAGGAACCGGCCGTAGGAACACAGTGGTTCCCCAAACATAATGAATAAATAAATGCATCTTAACAAATAACATGTAAATAACAATAATAATAATGAAAGATATTTATTTCCAACAGGTAAAAAAGCCAAAATACAGAAAACAGTTAATCGAAAATATTTACAACAGAATAATAAAAATAAACTAATACTTTTAAACACGCGCATGTGATAGGTAATGTTGCACAAAATAAAACAACTAAAAAAAATAAATTCACTTAAGGTGGTGATAGTACAAAAATTAATTAGTAATTAATAGCAATTTGCTGGGTTTATATTATGGCTTGTTTTGGTTTTGTCAGCGGACAGTCCTAGAACAGTTCAGAATAGTGTACTGTCAGTATGTCTTGGCTTTGATGTTCTTAAGAATGGAATGGTTAACTAATTTTACAACCGTCCTAGAACCGTTCTCTATTAGAACCAAAACACGCTTATGTCATATTCTATAAATAGTGCTTTTAATCGTGATCAGAGACAAAAAATTTAAATCACACTGATGACATATACCGTTAAAACAAGTACAAGCATTATCCAGGGTGATTCACAAATAATGGTGAGCAAAAATGAAACCTCGTATTCTTTGATGAATTTTAAGGGGAGTCTTTCCTATAAACTTTTTATCTAGGACACTTCGTTAAAAAGATACATAGTGTTAAACTTCAAAAAATATTTTTAATCTTTTAAAATAATTTAAAACCTAGTAAGTGAAATAATTTGAAATTGGGCACATGTATCTATGCAAACGTTGTGCAAAATCTGAGTGCTTCTCCTAAAATTTACATGCTCCAGTGGCGGAGACACAGAGTATCGGTGGCATAATTTTCTAAATAAAATAGTACGCCATTGTTTTACGGTAACATCCATGATAGTCTTTCAATTTTCTACAAATTACTACTCTTATGTTTTTCGAAAAAGCCTGATTTTCTAGTAAAACTTGAAAAACGAACTGAGAACATACTTCGATATTCGAATATAATGGTTTTTAAAATTACATAGTGGGCTGCGATAGCAACTTTAACATTCTGAGCAGTTAGAAGAAAGAATAAATAATGCTTTTCATCAAATTCAAGCAACAATAAATTTTAAACAAATCACATTTTCGTTACTAAAAAAATGTTGTACGTGTGTTCGTGAAAATGGAGGTATTTTTGAGCATTTACTCAAATAAAATCATTAAAATGATGACTAATGTTATTAATTTCTTTATTCGAATAAATAACCGAATAATTAGTGCCTGTCATGTCATTTAAGTAAAAATGTTTTTTGTTGGTTTTTTAAGTTTTACTCGAAAACCAGGCTTTTTTCGAAAAACTTAAGAGAGAAATAATTTGTAGAAAATTAAAAGACGAATCCGAAAATATCATAGTTGTTAGCGTAAAGCAGTAGTGTACTATTTTATTTAGAAAAATATGCCATCGATACCCTGTATCTCCGCCACTGGAGCATGTAAATTTTAGGACAAGCCCTCAGAATTTGGACAATGTTTACATAAATACATGTGCCCAATTTCAAATTATTTCATTTATAGTTTTTAAATTATTTAAAAAAATTAAAAATATATAAGTTTAACACCCTGTGTCTTTTTAACGAAGCGTCCTTGATAAAAACTTTATAGGAAATACTCCCCTTAAAATTCACCAAAGAATACAAAGTTTCATTATTAATAAATCAGATTAGTGATTTTTATTAGAAATATGTCTTTCATACGATTATTTGTAACTCCTGAAATTTTTTTAAATCTACAGATTTCCGCAAAAATTTTGAAAACATTAAACTTAGAAAATAATGGTTCTTTATTGCTATCTTCACTTAAATCGTTTATTAACATCATTTGGAAGTAACATAAATAGGAATTAAAAAACGGTACTAGTTATGTATTGAATATGAAGGTACGCATACCTAGTATATGTGGCTAAATTATAATACAATTTTCTACCTCCCAACACAAATGGATCATTCTTGTTAGAGGCGGAGAAATTATGAATTACGTACGAAGTTTACAGACATGTCTTAACTACAAAGTTTGGTCTTCTCGTTTCATAGTTTGAATTACAAAGCCTGTGACACACTTGATATACTTACTCTGAATAATTACTTTTTAGCAAACTACTTTAGGTGTCAACGGGAAACGTGCAAGAGAAAATATTTACATGCTGTTAAACTTACAATTAGTCGTCTTCTTTATTTTATCATAAATTTATCAGTGTTAAAAGTTCTTTCAGTAGGTATTACTTCATGAAACCTCATGTCAGACGCTAACTGAACTTGCAGAATCACTAGTAGTTGATCACACAACAGTTTCGAAATGATTCAAAAGAAAGGACATTGGGTGGGCTCCGTGAAGTTAGCCGCGCTTAATGTTCAATTTGTATATTTTATTTCACTAGTAATTTGTAAGTAATTTGTAAGTATTTGTAAGCCATAAACTAGAATTTGTAAGTAGCTCGTTAAGATGTTTTACAGAGTAACGAAAGTTACGAATAAATTATATAAAGCCGCTCTTGAGAAAAATATTTCAAAAAAATCGACGGTTCCGAGGATTTTTTTGAAATATTTTTCTCATCGGTTTTATATCATTTATTTGTTACTTTCGTTACTGTACATTTGTTAACATACAAACGTACAGGCTGATTAATTATAATTTCCCCCCTTCCCCAGTTAACTTCTTTATTTTTGGGTTTAGAAAAAAAATTTAAATACAAAAATTATACAGAATAATATAAAGATTCGTTACTGGAAAGAGTCGAAGAAATTCCTCAAGTAAATAAAAGGCGTTTAGCGGCAGAGGTTGGCTTTCAAAAAGTTCCATTAATAGAGTATTAAAAGACTAGTTATTACAGGTTACTATACTAACAGGTGGATAGGTATAGGAAATAATACCCCTTTAAAATGGCCACCTCGATCCCTGGACATAAACGCATGTAATTATTTCCTTTGGAGAACGTTGAGGTACGCAGTTTATAACTTTTCAGTAAATACAGAAAACGAATAATGGGAAAGAATACAACATGAAATTAGTGTTATGAGAGGTAATGCACAATTATTGGATAAAATTCATTGTAATTTTCGAAGAACTAATGCTTGCGTTTAAGAACAAGGAAGTAACTTTGAGCATTTACTGTAATATTATTTTAATGTGATTACAAATATCAATTTAGGTTTATTTAAAATGTTAATATTGACTTTCTTACATTATTAGTTGATATTGTTTATTTAAAATATTAGTGTTGATTTTTAATTTATTGATTGATAATACTAATACTAAAAATGTGTAATTTTTTTTAATGTGACGTTTTTTCATTATTATTCCCTGCTTTGAGGCTGCAGTTATAAATTATTTTTGACAAATCGGAATTTTTGCATATATTTAATGTATAAAAAATACCAAATTTTCTCGAAATGCATAAACGATATCAAAATTTTGTAAAAGCAAAATAGTATATTAAATAACAAGGAGGTTTTCAAACGAGTTTTTACGATACTTTTTATACGACTGCAAACAGAGACCACAAAAATCAAATTTTAATTTAAATCGTTTTTATTACTAAAATTGCCAACCCATTAACAAAATAAATTAAATACAACTTTTAATTTAACTCGTTTTTATTAAGAAAATTGCTAACGCATTAACAAAAAAAACTAATATTTAATATTTATGGTAACATTTGAACATTCCTTCAAGGTTACGCTGGGAAAAGCAGTATTATTGTGCACCTTGTTTTCGGTAATAGAGAATATTTTTGGTGTCGTGTTTTTAGTGCAGTTTTTCAGTGTGCGGTCGTTGTTTTCTTGTTGTATTCCAATAGACGATCGTTGTTCTGGTTCTGTGGCAGCAGAAGACTCTGAAGACTCTATCTTTTTCGAAACTTCCATTTTATTTCTCAAACAGTCATCACCGTAGCC